ATAAATAAAAAAAAAAAAAAAAAAAAGTAGTAACTACACTTAAAACATAAGTTTTGTTCTCATAAAAATATACATGATTAATTCACGACTTAAATAGATACAATTTTCAAAAACATAGGAAGTAAAGATGAAGGAAAGTTCATTCTCCGTGAGTAATCAATAATTGCAATGACAGTTCAACTTAGAAGATACTGGTGGAGGTTCCGATTTGAGAGTCATTTGCATCATGTGGAATATTATGGCCAAAGAATCATTCAAAGCCTCATAGCCCTCCACGAAATTTCCCCCATTGCTATCTTTAATTCAATTACAGACAAAAATACTGCCGGCGGACACAAGATTCCCGGATAAGAAAAAAGTTAATCATATATACACTATTTAACAACTAATTATATTTTTTAAATTATTTTATTTTACTTTTATTTCATTAAATAAATAATTGATATAATATTATTAAAAAATATAATTAATTATAAAACTTTACACAAATAATATATAAATAATTGATTATAAATAATAATAAAAAAACAAACAAACAACACACACACTCTTATTCAAAATAACAACAACAACAACAGTCGAATTCCTCAATCGCTCCAAACACAAATCAAGTCCAAGGTAACTTCCGGATGCAACTTCCTTCCCAAACACCAATTAATTTCTACCGGATATCATACCCTGCACGCAAAGATACAACATCAATTCAACAACTTCTATGTTCGTTGCTTGTACTAGTAAACATGGTAACAACTAAAAAAAAAAAAAAAAAAAAGAGACTTCACTGTTGGAATTCAATGTTGACCAAGGTGGCCGATGTATTAGCAATAGTCCCGAAAGCCTTGTCGGAGAGAACGATGGTGGTGCCGGTGGCGGAGGGCTGCGACACCGCAGTGGCGGCGTAATCAACAATCTTGATCTGAATGCTCTGGTCAGGAATGCAAGTCCTGGGCTGCTCGGCACTTATGCACCTCACCAAGTACTGCCTGCCACAGGCCGCCCCATTGTCCCATATTCCATCTCCGGCCGCCGCAAACAGGTTGCTCGACGGAAACTGCGACGCCTCGGTGCCGTAACAACCCGATGCTACAAAATACGACACATATATAATAACAATTAGTAACGAATTAATTAATAAGAAGAAGAAATATTAACATTGGTAATGGTGGTGTATGTGCATTATTACGTAAATAGGGGGGAGAGTAACGGGAAGCGGTGCCGACGTCAGCGTTGGAGGGGTGTGGGAGAAGTATTAATAGGATGAAGAGAGAAGATAAGTGGTGAAGCGTAGGTGACATGATCTTAGACATGAGGATGGGTTATCCACTAGCTAGTGGTGGATAATATATTAACATATGATCATGAGCAATAATATATATGTATAAATTGTGAGATAAGGTAACCATTAATTACCTTGTTCTACGAAACCTTTATTTTCTAGGTTGATTTTTTGTGTTCACAATTCCGGTGGAAGCAACGTTTGCTTAGCTATTTAATTTAGAATGGTCCCACGGACCGGTGAGCACGCGGTTGATTAGGAAAATGGGTCCATCAACAATAAAACTTTTCTGTAGGGTATACTCTTTCGTAGTTTTTTAATTTAATTATTGGTTTATAATATTCTTTAATTATTCTTTAATTATTGATAAAAATTTTAAGAGTAAGTTGAGAAGTTGCTTTATTTATTTTATAAAATTAGACATTTTAATTATATATTTTAAGTTGCACTAAAGCTTTAAATGTTAAACAAAATTAAATGGAAGAAATATTTTTTTCTTTGGATATTCATTTCATGCATGTGTAACTAATTTTTCTATCAATATTGTTTTACTTATTTAATTTATTTTTATTAGCATGAAGTATTTAAGATTAAAAATAATATTTAATTTCTGTCAAAAATTATAAATACACATAAAGTAAATATTTTTTATAAATAATTTAATTAAAAATATAAATTATTATCACTTATGTTAATTAATATTAATTTTTAGAATTATTTTATAACTGTTAAATTTGAAAAAATTTTAAAAAATTTAAGTAGAAATGAATTAAGTAGTTAAAAATATGAAGACCTGGGTTCAATCTTTATTGCGATCATTTTTATAATCTTTCTTATCTTTATAAAAAAATAAAAATCAAACACGGTTTATAAATAGTTCATCGATAATGTAACCACCAGCGCAAGATCCACAGGTAGTTTTGACTAAATAATACAACGGTACGGGCGATTTCTAGATTGATTGATTTTCTTTTTGTAGATTAATTGAATGATTGAGTTCAATTTTCAACGAAAGAGGTCTGCATCTTAACGTTATATATTTACTGAGATTTTTTAAATTATTAGTTCTTTTATAAATTTTAAAGTCTATACGCATATGTACCGTGGTGATCTTCCATTAGTCGATCCGAGGCACATCGACAAAATGACGAGCCCATAATAGGGACCCAAATATGGAAAGATTCACTAGCTCACTCAGACAATCAATAAGATCCCACAATCCGTGGGAACGATAATAAATACCGGGAGTTACGAGTCCATAATAAGGCGTGATTTATGGGATCATAAAGAGGAGTGTGCGATTCATGTCTGTAACGCTACACCATTATATATAGCAATGATTAGGTCTAAGAGGGCAGGTTACTCTTATCAAATGTTCTAGGTCAAGATTGCTGTCAAGTTCTTTTAGCTCGGTATCGCTAAGGGTTCTTCAGCGGTGATCTCCAATACCGGAACATTTTGGCGCCCACCGTGGGGCAGGTAAAACTGCATCCCACACCTTTGTTGTTTGACGTGAGCAGAAGGTCGCAATGACGAGGATTCTGAGAAGCAATGCGACAGGAGCTAGTAACGACGACGTCAATGGTGCCATAACTGGGGGCGCCGGCAGAATTGAAAATCCCATTCCCGCCGCCGGCGGCCACACTCTAGAAGAAATCTTGGCCGCAATAGAAACCTTGCAACGAGAGAACGAAGAAGCGCGAAGCAGAGAAGGAAAATGTCGTCGGTGATGAACATGTTCGGGTGCGGGGTGGTGAGGGCTCCGCCGCAAGCATTGGGGATTGGGAAGAGAAGCGGTGGAGGATTGACGATAGTGTGTTCGTCTCGGCCTCAGAAGAAAGCGACGGCGCATCACAGGAAGACGCAGCCACGGAAGACGCAGCCGTGGGATATAAATCGGAAACCTACGGTGTACGATCCTCTGCCTCCTCTTCCTCCCGATTGGACGCTCGTTATTCCCATCGATGCTTCCGCTGCTCCTCCGCCTCCAACTCCCGCTCCCTAGCCAATGTGCTCGTCTTCTAGCTTTGATTTTCTTGTTTTTATACACAAGTTCAATCATCTCAGAGATGACTTTGACTGGTTGAGATTGCCAAATTTAAAGAGTAAATTAAAATTATACTCTGAACCTTGGTGTGAAGAGCACTTTAAGGTCGACATTTTGACGATCCAAACCTTGGTGCGAATAGCACTTTAAGGTCGGAATTTAGACGATCAAGACCTTGGTGTGAAGAGCACTTTAAGGTCAGCATTTTGAAGATCCAAACCTTGGTGCGAAGAGCACCTTAAGGTCGGAATTTATACAACCCAAACCTTAGTGTGAAGAGCACTTTAAGTTCGGCATTTTGATGATCCGAACCTTGGTGTGACGAGCACTTTAAGGTCGGAATTTAGAAGACCCAAACCTTAGTGTGAAGAGCACTTTAAGGTCAAAAGTTAGAAGATGCAAACCTTGGTGCGAAGAGCACTTTAAGGTCAAAAGTTAGAAGATGCAAACCTTGGTGCGAAGAGCACTTTAAGGTCAAAAGTTAGAAGATGCAAACCTTGGTGCGAAGAGCACTTTAAGGTCAAAAGTTAGAAGATGCAAACCTTGGTGCGAAGAGCACTTTAAGGTCAAAAGTTAGAAGATGCAAACCTTGGTGCGAAGAGCACTTTAAGGTCAGCATGTTGAAGATCCAAACCTTGGTGCGAATAGCACTTTAAGCTCGGAATTTAAACGATCAAGACCTTGGTGTGAAGAGCGCTTTAAGGTCGGCATTTTAGACGATCAAGACCTTGGTGTGAAGAACACTTTAAGGTCGGAATTTTGACAATCAAGACCTTGGTGCAAAGAGCACTTTAAGGTCGGCATTCTGACGATCCGAACCTTGGTGTGAAGAGCACTTTAAGGTCGGAATTTTGACGATCCAAACCTTGGTGCGAAGAGCACTTTAAGGTCGAAATTTAGACGATCAAGACCTTGGTGTGAAGAGCACTTTAAGGTCGGAAATTTTGACGATCCAAACCTTGGTGCGAAGAGCACCTTAAGGTTGGAATTTATACAACCCAAACCTTAGTGTGAATAGCACTTTAAGGTCGGAAATTTAACGATCTAAACCTTGGTGTGAAGAGCACTTTAAGTTCGGCATTTTGACGATCCGAACCTTGGTGTGACGAGCACTTTAAGGTTGGAATTTAGAAGACCCAAACCTTGGTGTGAAGAGCACTTTAAAGTCGGAATTTAGACGATCCAAACCTTGGTGTGAAGAGCACCTTAAGGTTAGAATTTAGAATACCCAAACCTTAGTGTGAAGAGCACTTTAAGGTCGGAATTCAGACGATCAAGACCTTGGTGCAAAGAGCACTTTAAGGTCGGCATTTTGACGATTCAAACCTCGGTGCGAAGAGCACTTTAAGGTTGGAATTTAGACGATCAAGACCTTGGTGTGAAGAGCACCTTAAGGTTAGAATTTAGAAGACCCAAACCTTAGTGTGAAGAGCACTTTAAGGTCGGAATTTAGACGATCAACATAAATGAAGTCAAACGATGCGCCCCAAGTTGCGACCCAAAGTAGGTCAACAAAATGCCTATCTCACATGCTCTTCGCACCTTAGTGCTCGAGCATGGAGAGCTATGTACCACGATGGTCTCCCACATATCGACCAAAGTAAGTCGGCAAAATGTTGATCCAACATGCTCTTTGCACCTTAGTGCTCGAGCATGGAGGGCTATGTACCGTGGTGGTCTCCCATGAGCCGACCCGAAGTAGGTCGGCAAAATATTGATCTAATATGCTCTTCGCACCTTAGTGCTCGAGCATGGAGGGCTATGTACCATGGTGGTCTCCCATTGGCCGACCCGAGGCACGTCGACAAAATGACGAGCCCATAATAGGGACCCAAATATGGGAAGATTCACTGGCTCACTCAGACAATCAATAAGATCCCACAATCCGTGGGAACGATAATAAATACCGGGAGTTACGAGTCCATAATGAGACGTGATTTATGGGATCATAAAGAGGAGTGTGCGATTCATGTCTGTAACGCTACACCATTATATATAGCAATGATTAGGTCTAAGAGGGCAGATTACTCTTATCAAATGTTCTAGGTCAAGATTGCTGTCAAGTTCTTTTAGCTCGGTATTGCTAAGGATTCTTCGGCGGTGATCTCCAATACCGGAACAACATATGAGGAGGGATATAAGAAAATGTGTATAAAAAAGGAAATCTTTTTTATAATAAATAGTAACATTCTAAAATAATATTTTTCTTTTACCATGAATAATAAATAAGTAACTTTAATATCCATATACGCGCATGTAAAATACAAATATTTTCTCATGCTTTATAAACGCGACAGATATGATATAATATCCATATATGCGGATATCTTCTATGTAATATAACTATTTTTTTTTCTCGATAATAGTGATTAATTTCCTTTAGAGTACCTTTGTGAGATAACTGATTTCAAGATTTAACACAATTAAATATACAAGGCAGGATTCAAACCTTTGACCTTACTTAAACGTGGATCAATTTTTATCGCTGAACTACACGCTTGGAGTTAAATATAACTATATATATAACATACTTCTTTTATTAAATAATTATTAACATCAATAATTAAAAAACTTTTAATTTTTAATATACTTTAAGAATGTTATAGAATTATATCAAATGTAATTTTAAGTTAATGCTTATCTTTTTTTTTTTTAATATTTAAAAAAATTGATGTTAAATGCAAGTTTAAAAATAACATCAATTACTTGTCTTTAATATTTTAAAAGATTTAATATCAAATACATGTTTAAAATTATTTTAATATAATATTTTAAATTTCTTTAAAAATTTACAAATATACATGAATAGTAATATTAACAAAATTCACAAATACTCATTTAATAGATATTTATATGGGTAAAAGATAAATTTTATCTAGTTAGACGAGAGATGTTACTTACTATATTTATAAAATTATATAGTAACACAAAATTATTTGTAATTAATTGGTAATTTATTTTAAAATATTATAATTTAATTATAAATACAATTATTAAAATAAGTAAGTTAGAAAATCTATGTTGTTAA